TGTGTGTGTGTGTGTGTGTGTGAGAGAGAGAGAGAGAGAGAGAGAGAGAGAGAGAGAGAGAGAGAGAGAGAGAGAGTGGCAGGCTGCGGCTCACAATCTGTTAGGGGAGGCAAAGGTGTCCTGGAGATCGGGCACCCACAACGAGAATTTACGCAGATAGAGTCTCAAGAGTCGAAAGGAAACGCACAGAACTGCATAAAAGTTTTCAAAATGGCCCAGAGAGCTCCCACATCATGCAGCGTTCACCCTCAAGCGTAAGCTTAACACTCGTGCAACATCATAGCTTCTACTTCCCATGTTCGAGGCAAAGTAGAATCCTCCAACTAGTTTCGTCTAGTCCACTGGCGGACTCATCAGAGGAAGGTGCACTCGTAAGGAGTACTACTGCCAAAACGAGAGGCTCTCCGCCTTGCCGCCCGTCGTTGTAGGCATGCGTCGTCCTACGGAAGGAACTGTCCTATTCCTCTCAATCATCTACGTACTATGCCTGTACACCCATGAATGTGCTCGCTATTACGGTCAGATCCGTCTGCCACAATGTCGTCTCCATTTTCTCGTGTACGTACTGATCGTCTACGTCATTCTCCTTAGATATCACCCTTCAGCCAAAATGCGTGTCTGGTACGTCTTCAAAATTCCTTAAAAGGAAAGCGCGTGTTTCAACAAAAGCAGCAGATAGGTGTGATAGAATAGTAAATTCGAAAACAAGATAAAAATCCGAAACACAAACTCGCAAACGATACTCCGAAACAAACAGGAAAACAAAAGATGAAAGATAAAACACAATGCCGGTGCTCAACGCTCACGTTCACGTGATCTCTGTTGTGGATAATGCCTCTGCGAACACGTGCAGCCTCCGCGACCAAGTGTCCCTCTCATGTTCCAGTGGCTATTCGTGTCGTCTGCTGGATCTTTGGTCGGAAAAAAAAAAAAAAGCCTTTCTGCCGGATCTCCCAGACGTCTCAAGTTCGAGCCCTCCCCACGCGTGAGCACCATCCGAATAGTAGACAACATCTGGTATGGTAGCTCCTCGTCCGTAGCTTTTTTTTCTAACTTATTCAAAGCACACAGACGAAGAGAGAGAGAGAGAGAGAGAGAGAGAGAGAGAGAGAGAGAGAGAGAGAGAGAGAGAGAGAGAGAGAGAGAGAGTCGCAGGGAGAGAGAGAGTCTCAGAGAGAGAGAGAGACAGAGGGAGAGAGAGTTAAACTGAATTAAAACTTGGTTATTTGCACGCGGAACAGGCGGATGGGCCCGGGGCGGGAGGTGCGGGGCAGAAGGTTGTCTCGCCCCCTTCGACGGAGGTGTCGCTGGTGGTCTTGTCCTTGGCTGAGTTGTTGGTGAAGGTCGTGGAGGCGCACACTGTAGGCCCGTCATCATTGGCGATAACGCGAAGGGCACCTCCCAGCCCCTTGGGAGCGGAGTTGCGTTCGAAGCGTGAGCTGGCTATGACGGTGCCGCCTGCTTCGCTCAGCAACAGCGCTCCTCCGTTCTTTCCCGCGTGGTTGCCCGAGAATTCGCACTCCGTGATCTTGGCGCCGGCTTCTCTGAAGTTCGCCGCGCCTCCGTAATAGCCCGCCTTGTTGCCCGACAGCTTGGTCCGCCTGAGCTCGCCGTAGCTGTTGCTCCACGCGGCGATGGCGCCTCCCGATCCGTCCACGCTGTTGCCCGTGAGCTCGCTGTCGGAGATGAGGAAGCGCGTGTCTAGCATGGCTATGGCGCCGCCGCCCATGGCCTTCTTCGCCTTGTTCCGGCGAAACACGCAGTTCTTCACCGTGAGGACCCCGTCCCTCACGTAGACGGCTCCGCCGCTGGTGTCGTACTCGAACGCGTTCACGCCCTTTCCGACTGTCTTCATCCCCACCAGATCCAGGCCAGACAGCGACAGAGACGCAGACTGAGCGACGAAGCCGCGGAACTTGCCCCCGCCGTTGATCACACAGCGCCTGCCTGCGCACTTTCCCGTCACAGCGAAGTCTTTGCTCAAGGGAGGAAGAGAGCTCGTGAGCGTAACGTCTGCGGTCAGCTCGTATAGACTTGTTGTGCCGTCGGCCATAGCCGCTCTCAACCGCCGTTCTGGGTTCATGTCGCTCCGCAGAGACCGGCCCCCCTCCGGTCCGAAGAAGCTCCTCAGCTCGGCCAGGGCATCTCCTCCTCCCTCTCCTCCCTTGCCCGCGCGAACCTGAGGCATGGATGCCAAACTCAACACAATGGACCCCACCACGAATGCCATCACCTGACCCCGTGCCAGAGGCGACAGCGTGCCCAGTTGTCTCCTACGCTCCATCGCTCTCTTTCCCCGAGATAGTCTCCTGTGCTCTTTCCTTACCCTCTCTCTTCTTCTTCCTCCTCTCCCCCTTGTCTTCCTGTCTTCGTGTTTCTTCTCTTCTCCTGCTCCTCCTGCTGCTCCTCCTACACTCTCTCTTCCGAGGAGTGGAAACGGGCGAGAGCTTGAGCGAACCGGTCGGATCCGTGGGAGCAGAGAGGTCGAAGATGCCTAATTATAGTAATGCGCCGACAGTGCGGAAGCAGCTGCGAGGTAAGACAGCGGTGTGTTGTGACCCGGATGCATATGACCGGAATGGCAGTCAAATGCAGCTGCGAGATGAGGCAGAGATGAGTCACCTCGGAGCAGCGGTCTCACCCCTCCCCTCGGTGGCATGGCCAAGTTAATGGGCGCGATGAAGAAGATGCAGAGGAAGGTGGGTCGCTCGCAGATTCCCCAGCAAGCCTGAAGTGAGAAAGTGGAACAAGCTCGGCACTGCACTTCCAACGCCCCCTCTGTGATCTTTTATAATCAAATCATTCGAAGGGTGAGTAGTGAGGCAAAAGGGGCTCCTGCGATTGCGCCAGGAGGGAAAAATAGAAAACAAAAAAAAAAAAAAATCTCAGACAAAAGACACAGCCAAAGGAGGTGTGTGAAAACCTTGACGTTTTATCTGATTGGCATTTTTTTACCCTTTTTTTTTGGTAGCCAGCGGCTCTGCGCTACGTTCGGAACCTCTCATATCGACCGTCCGACCGGGAAAAGTAGTGTGTGTGGTGGCGGGGCCAGCAGGTTACTGACGCGTGCCCAACTCGTTGCTGCTGCCATCCCATCTGAACATTTCACGCTTGCATCGCGGCGACGCGGTGAAGAACTCTCCTACGGGCGACTTATCCCCCCTCTACCGAAGTTGAAGTGGACTTAGCGCCCGGGATTGAGCGAAAGCTTGAAGAGTGGAATCAGCTTCTACGGGTGGACTTCCTGCTCTCGCCACGTGGGGACGACCTTTTCTTCTCTGGTTCCCCTTTCTCGTTTTCCACTTGTCGTCAATATCGTGGAGGGGCGTCGAGCTGTCGGAACCCACGTAGCTGAACAGTGGGACGGGACTTCGGGCCTCCACAACTCTCTTTTTCTTTAAAAAGCTATAGGGCCTCGCCACAGCACTCTCTGCTACGGGGTTTCCCGTATTTCTATAATGACAATAAAAAAAAGGCCTGAAAGGCCGTCCTGTCCAGATTTGACAGGTAATTGAATTGGTTGGGCTTAAAGAAATGTGCAAAAGGCAAAAATTTGGCGGGCGCATCTGGTCTTGTTCTTGAGGGAAGTTCATTCTCAATTTGCACATTCCCAATTAGCACATTTCGGGAAGTTCTTCTCTCAATTTCACCTCACACTACCTACCACCTACCACCACTCCTAATTGTAGGCATATATAACTCCGGCCTCATGTGGTGTTTCTGCTAGAACATGGAAAATACATAGCCATATTATTTGTCTTCTGTGCACGTGCTGACTACCTTCTTCACCCGAATACAACGTACCGTCATTATAGCTGTATTTGAGGCATCTTTCAGTCTAGATACAGCTATAATGACCGTGCGTTCTATTCGGGGGAAGGAGGTAGTGCAGCGTGGCCCTTGGGGGCATCTCTCCAGTGCAAAATGGGAAGGGGTAATTGCAGAAATAGAGCGTTTTCCTTTGCAAGGAAAGCGGGACCTGTAAAGCTGCAACGAAAGATTTTTTAAAAGAAAAAGAAAAAAGAAAAGAAAGCTGCAAACTTGGGCCCCGCGAATATTTTTGCTGTTTTGCTCTGAAACTACAGCGAACGCCCTATTTTCGAAACTTACCCAAATGGCAATGAATCTTCTCCTAGACATGCGAAGATACACAGCCATATTTCTTATTGTGGAGAGTACTGGAGATGGGTCCTTGGTCTCTGGTATATAGAGAGCCAGAGGGTTTTCCACTAGCCAAGTAAGCCCCCAAAAAGGGCAGTCTTTTTGTGCTCTCGCATTGGGGAAGGGTTCGCTTTTTTTGCTGTGGTGGTCTTGCTCTGGCCCCACCCGTGTAGATTTTCGAAATCGATTTTCTTTTTTTTCTTTTTTTTTTTTCTCTTTTTTTTATCTTTTTTTTTTCTTTTTTTTTTTTCTCTTTTTTTTATCTTTTTTTTTTTTTTTTTTTTTTTTTTTTTTTTTTTTTTTTTTTTTTTTTTTTTTTTTTTTTTTTTTTTTTTAGATTTCCCGAGTCTCACAGGCCTGGCTCCAGTCCATACGAAATGTGCAAAATGACAATGAATGTTCAGCTAGGACATGGGAAGATACACACATTTTTGTTTTTGTTTTTGTGCATGTGGGGAGTAGTGGAGGGACTCTTCGCGAGTCTTTTGTGCATGTGGGGAGTAGCGGAGGGACTCTTCGCGAGTCTTTTGTACATGTGGGGCGTAGTGGAAGGACTCTTCGAAAGTACAGCCACAACACACGCCACACCCTGCTCTGAGAGGAACAGCCCACCCGCCCCAACTTGAATTACACAAAACCTCTCGAGGCCGGGGCCCTCACAATTCAACCCGGTGTTATCCTGGCAGCATCAGCCAGTTTAGCTTATCGTACGACTACGAACTCCGTCGTACCCTACTAGGCTACATCTGCAAACCTGGCTAATAGCCATGTAGTTGGTGCTTACTTCATTGTCTGACTGTCTTACTTGTCCACAGAATATCCCAACTGCTTATCCTAACTCCTATCTTCCTGGCCCTACCTATGCCTAGACTAATTCACAGGGCTAGTACGGCCTGAAGGCGGCCTGCACCACCCGTGGAACCGATGTCCCGAGTCTCCCTGGCACTCTCCACCCACCTCCCCAGGTTGACCTACTGTGGTCCGAACTAGAACCGAGTAGCCCTGGTTCATGCTACTCTGTCTGCTCTGTCTCTGGTTATCTGTCCCACCATAGCGAGAACTTCAGCTTGTTGTCTCCACTGGCAGTGACTTGTCGTACCACAGTTCTGTCCCCAGGTTGCTTTGAACCACTGTGTGCCTGCCCTTTTCCTACGGTAACCCCTGTCTGCCTTTCTCATCCAACCTGCCAGCACTTCGTTTTTTGCCCTTATAAGGGTTTCTGCTCTTACAACGGGAATAGAACCCATATCCCTTTCCTCCTCATCTGACTATACCGCATCTCTCCAATTTGCCATGTGCAACGAGCTCCAAACAAAGATATTGTGGGGAACGAAACTGCAAGGAGAGAAGCGTAGGGAGCACACGGATCCCAAACACTATGGAAATATCAGCGGTGCCCATGAGTCCACCAGCCCTTCAATTCAATCGGAAAGCGATAAATTTAAAGCCGATGGTCTACAGTCCCACACAGTCCCAGGGCCCCAGCAACTCAGACGAAAGGGGATACAATCCTCTTCAGTCGATGGTCTACAAACTGGCACCAAAGTCCCACACAGTCCCAGGGTCCCAGAAACTGAGTTAAATAGAGGGGATACAATCCGCTTCAGTCTGTGACATGCCAGCTCCCGTACCTGCACTATCTTCCGAAAGCCCCCAAATTTCGTTAAACTGTTCTCTCCCCCCCCCCCCCTCTTTTGCCATATTTCCGAGGCACGAAGTTGTCGGCCAGTCAGGCCCTCCTGAATCCAAAGTGGCATTTCTTCTTTTTTTTCGTTGCAATTTTCTTTCGGAATTCATGCACTTACGTGAGAATTTCGTGCGGCTTAGAAAATTGCTAAGGGCCCCGAGGATGCCCCGAGGAGTTTTCCTTTAGGTCACCCGAAGAATTTCCCGCCGTCGTTGCACCTGTCCTCGGAGGATGCTCCGAGGAGGGGCCGCGGGGATGATCATAATAAAATATGTGGCCACGGGGCAGGGTAGTGGGCGGCGGTCCATGATGTGATGTCCGGGTGGTCGGGCTTGGTCCACCTCCAGGCGGCGGGAGATTTCAAATTTCGGCGGCGGGGTCGAAAAAAAAGGAGCACACGGGGGTGGAGCCTGCAGCGGGCGGTGGACAACGTCATCGTGGAACCACATCCTTCAAGGCTTCAACGACGGTCGGCCTGGGGCGGCGCGTGGACAACCGTTCCACCATCAGAGTTGAGACGGGAAAAGTGGAGAAGACGTCATCATGGTGCTCGTCCTCACGTCACTGCGCGGATAATCAAGTAGCGTTCTACGAGTTCTCATGGCGTCCTTCGCCGCACCATCCCCTTGGTCGTCACGCGTCGCGTTTCCGTCATGTGTTGGCGTGTCCCCGAAATCTGTTGGCCGTTGTTGAAGGCGATGTCTTCTGCACCCTGTGCGGCGATGGGGAATGTCGCCGACGACGACCGTTCGAAGCTGTCAACGGCCGAAAGGGCAGCGTTTGTGACGTACTAGCTTCCGTACCTGCGCCATCTTTCGGACCCCTTCCTTTTTTCCCGTGTTTTCTCTGCATCCAGATGTGTACAGTTCGACCCCGAGACCCCCCCCCCCTCCCCTCTCTGTCTGTGCCCGATTAAAGGTACCTTNCCCCCCCCCCCTCCCCTCTCTGTCTGTGCCCGATTAAAGGTACCTTGCGGGAATCTGTCAGTTCCTTTTTTTTGTGTCGTTTTGATTGAAAATGCATGGGAATTTCGCGCGCCTTAGCGAGTGCGCTTGGAATTTGGCTCGGCAGTTAGAAATCCCGGAATTATCGGAATGTAGCGCCACCTTCCGCGCGCGAATGTTCTCGGCCTCGACCTTGAAAACTCTGGGAATTCTTGTAGGAATATGGATGGACGGAAGACTTTCTTTCCCGCACTTGTTTTGCGCGCGGATATGGTACTTTCAATTTTTGAATTAGCATAGGATTGGAAAAGAGTGCAACTGTCTTGGTGCCCATTCCCCCTTTTGCTGATCGGCGCCATGCAAGCAAGCTCCCTCCTCCTTCCTCCCTTGCACTCCTCTCACCGTCCTTCTTCGCACGCACACGCTTTTTCGCCCCCGCCCCCTGTAACTACTTTTCCCTCCCCTTCTCAGCGCGCGTTTTTTTTCTTTCTCCTTCTTGATCATCTGAATCTTGGACCCGTTTCGTGCTATCCTCCGCGCTCCTCTTCTTCCCGCTCTAAGATCCGCGCTCGAAAACCCAGTCGATCTTCTCTCCCCATCTAGCCAAGGAGAAGCGCCGTGTAAGTTCTTACTGCACGACGATTCTAATTGGTTGAGGTCGAGTTAGGAGGGATCATCATGGCTTTCGATGGGCGGTCACTCCCAAACTCTCCTATACCCTCCTCTGCCTCACCCTTCGCTTTTCCTCGCGTCTCTCTTTCGTCTCGCAGCTATAAATTCCGCCGGCGCCCCCGCAAAACTCTCTCTCAACTCATTGGCCAGCTTCTGGGAAGTAGTGGTTAGGTGATGTGTACGGTCCGAGTCGGAAAGTCCTGACGAGCCGACTGTAGACTGGTTAGCGGTGCGCTAGATCGCCACGACGGACTGTGGGATCCAGGCAAGCCACGTCGAGACTAAGTTG